GTATTTAAAATAAAATAACCATTTTGTTATGATTTTTTTACCCTAAAACTAGGATTATCTTTTGTTAATTTTATTTTTTGGCAGTGGAGGGCAAGTTCAAATCAGTATTTTGGCCAATCTTACTATGACATCAGCAAAGAAAGCTGGGGATGGAGCTGGAAAGAGCGGTGGATAGCCGCCCGGCCATGGGAAAATCGAGCACTAAAGCCCTCACTCGTTAAAAAGGTCGAAACCAAACACAAAACAAGCGAATCAGTTTCGAAAGCTGTCAAAAAAGCCTCGACTGATGGAAAAGCCTCCGCGCATGCAAGAAAAGCATCGGGAGTTTCAAAACTTGCAGTTGCATGATGACCCAACAAAAAAACACTACGGATCAAGGAAAAAAAAGACTCGATTTTTACGCTCGGGTTTGTGAATGTGAAACAATCGGTTCGCTAAGAGAAATGGGGTTCGGTTGGTATTAACTAATAATTTGAGGAAATTAAGAAATAATCTTTTTTGGTGGTTTGTCAATAATAAAAAGATAAGAGGGCATTGTGTAACTTATAAGCCACTTGAGTGTGGATTAGTTTGTGTGTATTGAAATTTTTTGGGGTGATTTGAAGCTTTTCTATTTTCCTTATCCTTTTGTGTTTGTTGTTCGGATTGGATTGTTACAAAGTTGTTGTTTTTTTCCCTAATCACCAATTTGATGTTATGACAGTTAAGTGAAAAAGTTCTGTTTTTTCTGTTCAGTTTGATCAGATTTACAAAATCATTGTAACATTTTAAAAAAGACTACGGATCAAGGAAAAAAAAGACTCGATTTTTACGCTCGGGTTTGTGAATGTGAAACAATCGGTTCGCTAAGAGAAATGGGGTTCGGTTGGTATTAACTAATAATTTGAGGAAATTAAGAAATAATCTTTTTTGGTGGTTTGTCAATAATAAAAAGATAAGAGGGCATTGTGTAACTTATAAGCCACTTGAGTGTGGATTAGTTTGTGTGTATTGAAATTTTTTGGGGTGATTTGAAGCTTTTCTATTTTCCTTATCCTTTTGTGTTTGTTGTTCGGATTGGATTGTTACAAAGTTGTTGTTTTTTTCCCTAATCACCAATTTGATGTTATGACAGTTAAGTGAAAAAGTTCTGTTTTTTCTGTTCAGTTTGATCAGATTTACAAAATCATTGTAACATTTTAAAAAAGACTACGGATCAAGGAAAAAAAAGACTCGATTTTTACGCTCGGGTTTGTGAATGTGAAACAATCGGTTCGCTAAGAGAAATGGGGTTCGGTTGGTATTAACTAATAATTTGAGGAAATTAAGAAATAATCTTTTTTGGTGGTTTGTCAATAATAAAAAGATAAGAGGGCATTGTGTAACNTCAAGAGATTTTTAAACAAACAATCAACAGAGGACATTTTCTAGAGCTGGGGACCATTTTGCAATTAATGATTGTCACTTATTGTTAGTTAGTACCCAATTTTGGTTGTACTCAGGGGGAGTTTTTTTTTCCCATAATCTGAGTCTTTAATATGATATTTCCATTCAAATTTTTCACAATTGTTGTGCATTTTTTAGTCTTTCATTCAGTTGCTAGAATAATTAACCAGATGTCAATTGCTAAACTATATTTCACTGTCAATAAACAAGTCAGCTTGATCAAGAGCTGAAAAAAAAAATGTATTGTAAGCGATTAAACGCCAGGCAAGTTTCGATTTTGTACCCAAAAATGATCAATAAACTACCCAAAAATGGCCAAGCAACTATAAGAAGCAAACAACACATTATCTCATTTGTACCGAAAAGATAGGTGTTGCAAGATTCAATGTCGAAATCAAATAACAATTTTGAATTTTCTATGTGGGCTACAAGGCTTAAAGCATGCTATCAGAAAATGCGGATGAAAAAAAAGAAAAACTCAAACTGGTTTGAACTCACACGAAGCAACACCTAGTTCGGATTTTGTTGCTATCGAATACTATTGTAGAAAATCTAGTTGTATTAATATATCCAAGATTTGCTCTATGAAGATTCAAGGATCAATAGTGTAAATTAAATTTAATTTAACACAAGAAGCAAATGCTCACATCAACATAACAGAAGTTCTAACATACAGAAGCAAATTCAAATGGTCTGTGGAAAAACAGTCGAGAGCTTTCTAATCGTTCGGGCATGAAACACGAAATTAAACAACTAGCGATCAATTAAAACAAAAGAGCAACTAACATAGAATGCTAACCGGGATATGATCGGGAGAAAAAAAAAACTTGACACTAAGATCAAGAATTCTTTCGCCTTACAGGAAAAGCAAGCCGCCATCTAGAAAAAACTCACTCAAGCTCTCAATTCATCTTCATCTTTTACCATTTGTTTCCCTGCATTTTTTTTTTTTCAAAGCCAAAGACTNTGTCACCTGATCAATGGAGGATTGGTTGTGCATTAAGTGAGTTAGAAAAAGCTTCAATGGCGGGAATCGGAGGAAGCAGAGGATGGCTTGTCTGAGTATCCATCGTGCTCTTCCTTGCTACCCTGAATTCGTGCCGGGATGTGAAATCCAGAGAACCCAGCATATCCCGAGAAGCCAATGCCGCCGGAAAACGACGACGGGGGATAAACCGGCAAAGTTCCCTGGTGGTGGTGGTGGTCGGCCATGGCCGCCGGTGGGTCCATCCAAGCACGAACCGAAGGTGTGTTACTGGACTGAAGGGGTCCCCTCTGTGAATTGTTAAGAAACTGGTTATAGTCGCCGCCTGCAACATCGCCGGAATTCCAAGAAGGGAGGTTTTCCGGCAGGGGTCGCCAGCCGTCAAATCCGAGCGGGATTCCGGTCAGAAGGACGTGCGGCTGTCCCTGAGACTGCGCGTGCTGTTCGGGTTGTGGATGGTGGTGGATATAGTTCGGGTCTTGAAACGACTGCAAAGAGAGCCTCAAATCCTGGCTGTTATTGTTGCTGCTGCTGTTTCTCGAGAACAAATCGTGTGTCGGGAAACTCTGAAACTGCACGTCGGAGTCTAATGACGGCGGCAGAAACCCCGACACGTGCTCGTTCCCGGAAACCGCCGTGTCGTGCGGCTGGTTCTGCTGTTGGATCTTTTTCCGGGCATTTTCCGGCACGGAGGAAGTGGCGGCGGCGGCGGGGTGCCAGGCGGGAAGCTCGGCGAGCCCGTCGATGGCGGCCTTGGCCTTGTTGATGAGCCAGTCGACGGCTTTGCTGGGGCGGTCGTAGCCCAGGCGGTCCTGCACGTCGTAGAATTGTATGGCGGTGTGCGCCGCCAGGCGGACTCGGCGGTCCCGGAGGCCCTTCGCCGTGCAGACCTTGCTGTGGCGGTCCTTCCGGCCGGTGGACCGCACGATGTGGCCGCCTTGCACCGCCACGATTTCGGCGGCGGCGGTCCCCGATGGAGGCGGAGGCGGGGTGGGGTGGCCGTCTCCCTCGAACATAGGGAAGTACGGCCGCTTCTTTGGCGGCGGAGGCGGAGGCGGAGGTGGGGGAAGCAGCGTTTCCGGCGGCGGCGGCGGTTGGCGGCCGTAAAGGAGGTGGGTTTGGTGGAAGAGCTCCTGAAACGACGCCGTCGGAGGCTCGTGGGGGGTTTTCAGGGAGATGTGGTTCGGCTCACGATCGCCTTCTTCTTCCTCTTCTTCTTCTTCAGCATTTCCAAGGTTTTGATTTCGATAGAGATGGTGAAGATTTCTGTGGGAATCCAGACTCAGGATCTTATCTTGCCTCCTCTCTTGATTTTCTTGGTCCAGCCTTTTGATTTACAGAGATTTTTTTTTCTATTTTTTTTTTTTTCTGATTGCTATTGTGCCAATAATATGTCCTTATTGTGTTCCTGAAATTGCTTGTGCCATTCAGAACCTCCAAATTCCATGCTACTCATTAAAACCCTTAATTGTCACAAATGATAATAATGGGGTATCTATCTTTTTTTCAACACAATATAAGATTAGATTTTCACAATATGCGTGTACACAGTACAATTTTATTTTGGAAAAAACTATTTATACAATTTTTATAGTATAACATTCAATGACAACATGATGTGGCATGATGTTGGTAGTTGGGATGTAAATAAATATATGGTTGAGATTTGAATTGATGATACTTTTAAATAAGTTATGTAAATAGAGTACCAATTACCCAATTATCGTCTATTCATTGTACGATGCCTTCGCACTTTTCTTAGATGAAAATGTTAACTTATTAGTTATTAGGTGCGGTATAAAAAGTAATACATTAAAAAATGATATTTTTTTAATAATAATACTGAGAAAAATAAAAGAAGGTAAAAGTATAAAACCCATCACCAGTGTTTTTTGGTTGCAGCCTAACCCATAAAAATGCATTTTTACTGACTTTATTCCACACTGCTTTTGATGTTGGCTGTATCTCAGTGCTCTGTGTGTGCTAGTGTGCTAACAAGTAACAACACACTACATCAAGAATTTTATTAGAATCATATGAATCAACTAAATAAATAGAAATTAATTGAGTTTTAAAAAAATAGAAAAGTTTAGATCAGAACTAGTATTCTATCTTGTGTACACGAACAAATATTTAAATTATAATAAGTTGTATATCATATATAATATTAAAATAATAAGTTAGATAAAGATATCACATTTTAAAAAGAATGTCATTAGTTAAAATGAACATTATGAATCTATTTAACTTCATCACTGTATTGATTGCACAAAATGAATTGGATAATATAGTTCTTTATAAATTTGAGGATCCCGACTTATTAATTATCTTTAAAAGTATTAAAATTATTATTATTATTATTATTATTATTATTATTATTATTATTATTATTATTATTATTATTATTATTTATGCGATTATAAGAGGTTTGATTATATCCCTAAACTAAATTAATTTATTAACAAAAATACTTAATGAGATGCACAATAAATAGATAAAGAAAATATTTGCAATATGATTTTTTTATACTTATTGAACTTACATATATCATTCAATATTGTAAGATTTAGATAATAGGGCAAGAGGGTGCGCAGTCCCACGCAGATGAAGCGCACCATAAGAGGTGAGCATAGGTGCACTACAGTGATGTTCCATCCAAAAATCAATGGGTGAAAGAGGAGTAGCCCACGCTTATAAGTTAGTCATATTTTTTCAATATAAATAATGTGGAATAACTCACAAGTGATATTTTAATAGCCTCCTCACTTGTGAGTCCTTCATACAAAGCCCAGAGTAGACCGGGTAGAAATAGAGACTCAGGCAGGAGTCGGCCGGATAGAGATAGAGACCCAAGCAGGAGTCGGTCTGCCTCTGATACCATGTAAGAATATGGGAAAAATATCTGATGTATAATTGGTTAGTTTTAGCAGTAACTGTTATATAAAATAATTTAATAATATGATTACACTTTAATCAACCATTATGTTGTCATTGGTTAAATTTCACTTACTCATTTTATAAAAATAAAAATAAAAATATGAATTGTAACGTGGGAAATCCAAATAGTTTGTCCAATTGAAGCATAGGATAAATCTAATAAACATTTAAATAAATAGAAATTAGTTAGTGTCCAAATGAAGCAGAATTAATCTATTCAACAAATATTCCTGTGATTCTCATTCAAAAAAAAAAAAATAATAAATAAATAAATAAATAAATAAATCTCTTTTCCATAACTGAGCAAACATGAGAAGGTTAAAAAATGGAAAGAAACGAAAAAGGCCTTGGTTACAGCTTTACTCTCTATTATAAAGGATGTCAGTGATGCGGGTGGCAGTGTTTGGGTCAGAAAAAGGGAGATTAAATTAAGGGGTTGGTTGGATAGTTTTTGATCGGATATCTTATATTTCATTGATTTTTTATTAACATAATTAATTTTGAAAATATTGGTTAAGTTGAGTTTGGGTAAAATATTGCATTTATGTTATAATAATATATAAAATGAAATAATTAAAATTGATTTGATGTAAAAGTAGGATATATGTAATTGGAAATAATGAGTAGGCCTGTAAATGAACCGAGCTGAGATCGAGCTTAGAGCGCCCGAGCTCAAGCTCGAGCCCATGACAAGCCAAGCCGAGCTCGGGTAGTTAAATAAATGAGCCTGAAATCGAGCTCGAGCTCGACTCATTTATTACTATTAACGAGCCGAGCTCGAGCTTTAACAAGCCAAACTATAGAAAATTACATAAAAATTCTCTTTTCGAGTCGAGCCGAACTCGGCTCATTAACCAAACGAGCTTTAAATGAGCTCGAGCTCAGCTCGTTAAGACCTTGAGCTCGAGCCGAACTCGAGCTTTAACGAGTCGGGCTCTAGCCGAGCTGAGCACGAGTCGAGCCGAGCCGAGTCAGACTTGTTTAATTTAACAGCACTAGTGATGAGTAATAATGAAGTAAAGTTGTGATGTGTGAGAATGATTGATTGATATTATTTAATTATATTGATAATATTGATGAAAATTTGATTGGGTTAAATTTATATTAAATTTTGACTTAAAAAAAGTGATTGGTGAAAATTGATTGGTTTTTTCTCGTCCAAGCAACCTCTAAATAGTGTTCAGGTCACTAAGAAGGAGATTAAAATTAAATATCTCTCTAGTGTCTACACTTTACCTCGCTGCTACCCTTTTGTACAACCTAGATAGACATGTGAATAAAACCCACAGAATCGGGTTACTCGTGGGTTACCCATATCTTCGGGTCGAGTAAACTCGAGATGACTGGGGGCTTTGGAAACACTTATGGAGAAGTCCATTTCAAAAAGGACTTTTTGAAAAGTGATTTCTCAAGAAGTTTCTGATATAAATTTATTTGAAATGGACTTTTTGTGGGAGTTAATTTTTAAAAGTCCATTTTGTTGTTTGCACCAAACATCTTTTTGTATAGAAATGAACTTTTATAGTCAAAAAGTCCATTACAAAAGTTCTTCCAAACATATACTGAGTTTCAGGTAGGATTTTACTACCCCAACTTGGGTTGGATTGGGTTCTGGTATGGCAGCAAAACTCGTGACCCTACCCGTGTACCTGCAAACACATATACTTAATTGGAGCTCAATATATTAAGCTTGTTATAAATATAAACTGGTCATGTGTTATTGAAAAGAAAAATTATTATAAAAATTTACCTTTTATATTCTAAATTAATTATAAATATTACAAAACTAACAATAATAGTTTGTCATCCATACAAAACTAACCATCTTAGTTAGTATAATATGTAAAAATAAGATATCAAAAACATCAAGTTAAAAAGAGTTCAAAATAGCTAAAAAAAAATTGGCTAAATATACTTCTTTTATCCAAACTAAGAATTGAGAAAAGATTCACAAAATCCACATCTTTTGCAGTAGCATAGTTATATTATTACATTCATATGCAAAGTCACATATTATTTTTTATCATCTTAGATATCTATTGTTAACTTTTTATTTAGCGCATTGCCTTTACTTTTTTTATATAAAATATTATACTATTAATACAAAATATTTTCAGATTTTTAGATTTTTTCATTTAATTTGTGAATCACCGGTTCAGGGTCGAACTGACGATTCAAATTAAACGATTTGCGTAACATTTGATGTTGGATCTCAATAATCAAACTGATCTAACGGTCAATTTTAAAAATATGACTGCAGGATCTCATGTTTCCGAATCTGAACCGGCCCGATCTGGAATCGAAAAAAATTTAAATTTGACCGGTTGGATCTCAATGGTCAAATTTTGGAATTTCGAAAAAAAACATTTTGTCCGTTGGGCCGGTACCATTTTGAAAGGGAACCAAAACCGACAGTTCTAATTTCTTTTGTTTGAACTTGAATCAACCCGTGGTCAACTGTTCTGGTTAGACCTGAAATTGTTGACTTTCAGGCCGAATCGGTTCGACGGATGGGGACGAACCATGTACACGTCTCATTCCCCACCAGGTAAAGCTAATCCAAATCTGAAGGCTAATAACTAGGGTAATGGGTCAGGTTGAGGTAGGGTAATTTACGTGCGGGCCGAGTACGGATTTTTCAAAACCCACAAAAAGCGACCAGACCCATTTACATCCCTAAGCCTAACTACACATACACCATTACCAAGTTATCAATACTAATAATCTTTTATTTTGTTTTTATATGTTTTATTATTATTATTATTATTATTATTATTATTATTATTATTATTATTATTACAATAACTGGAAGTAAAGTTGAGGGGAGTATAAATAAGAATAGATAAACTTCAAAGAAGTTGTGTTCAAAATTGGAAGTAAAGTTGAGGAGAGTATAAATAAAAATAGATAAACTACACAGAAGTTGTTTTCAAATTGATGGAATTCATTTCTACAAACTCGTGTTTTATATGTTAGTCAACTATTTATTTATTATTATTACTATTATTATTAATTATTGTTATTATTATTGTTGTTGTTGTTGCTGCAATAGTTGGAAGTAATAAAGTTGAGGAGAGAATAAATAAAAATAGATAAACTATATATAAGTTATTTTCAAATTGATGGAATTCATTTCTACAATCTCAGTGTTTCATATGTTATTCAACTATTATTTATGAACAAGAAATTATTAATAATTTGATGTAGGGAAGCGTTAGAGTGAGACGATATTAATGAGATCTCAATCTCAAGAACATCTAAACACGATAAACACTCAATTTCTTATTTCATTCATAATCAACTATGTAAAACAATAGATGAGGTACCCTTTAAATAAGACTCCTAAACCCTATTCATAACTTGTCCAACAAGACAAACTCACTTATAA